CGAAGGTTAGAAAAAAAAAAGAAATAGCGACGTCTACATCGTGTCATTTTCTAGATAAAAATACCGTTTTGTAAACAGACATATCGATAATTTTAGACAAAAAATAATCTAAATAATGATTACCATAGTTGATGATACGGATCGTTAAACATTGTGTTTGTGAAAAAAAAAAGTATAATTACTGCGTCATGTCGATTTTCATGATAGATGATTCATTTAAATAAGAATTATTGATCTTTCTTCTGAAAATTATTTTTCATAAATATTTATTCATACATATATAGTTTCATATGTAAAGCATTGCTTTTTTTTTTCATTATATACTTATGCTATTAGTTATAACACCTAAGAAAAATTTTTATTAATATTTTCTTGGAAATAAGTGTTAGATTTATACGCTATTACTATGACCTGTACTCAATTGTATCTATTTTTATTAATATATTAACATAATTCTAATGTGAAACCTTAAAAAAAAATTAAAAATGTTAAGATAATTTTTCTTTTTTGGAAAGAATCATTATTCTTGTTTTTATTTAATTCATATATAATATTATGAATTATAATCAGAACTAACTTGAAATAGTTAATTTCAAAAAAAATAGATCGAAAATCGAGGTGTTACACTGTTGACAGTGTGTATGCGCGTGTATGTTAATTTACCTTCCGATTTGATTAACTCGATTTGATAATCGATTCACTATTTACTATTATAATAATACAGTTGCTAATAGGAAAAATCAATCTTCATTATAGAATGTCATTGAATGAATGTTGCTATTTTAAAGATAGATAGGTTTTAGTAATGTCACTATTACAAGTGTAATAATCAAATATGATTTTAGACATTATCTATGACTAAAATCTGCTCAATATGATAATATGTGATTTATAATTATAATCATAGATCAATATCAATTTATAAAATCTACTTAATATTTTATTTAATACATTGAATATATACTATCGCTTTTTTTAAACATTAGAAAAAATAATTGAAAAATTTTAATCATTTACAAATTATGAATTCTGTTACGATGGTTTGGTTTGTTAAAAAAAAGAAAATAGTATTTAAATACTTTTTATACTAACAATGATGAATAGAGACCGCGTATTTCCAAACTCGAAAGACATTTATGTTTTGTTTTTCTTCTTTCTCTTTTCGAAAAACATTACATAATTGTCTGCCTTAAATAGGATACATTCCTTCATGAAATTCTATTCTACATCGATATATTACTCCAATAATTAATGACAATTAACACTAAAAAAGCAGAACAAGGGAGTTATTCCTTAATATTTAATTCATTGAATTTATTATGTATGAATAAAATATAAAATATGAAGTCTAATGCCATAACATTTTACGTTCTTGAAAAATAGGTACTGGGCATATAACAATAATAATAATCTATGTATATCCTATTATGAATATATATATATAAGAAATCCTTGATATCTTCTATTTACGCACTTGACTCTGATAAAACAAAAATTTCTTGTATTAAAAAAGAACACATACTCGATTGTTATTATGACTTGATGTTGCTTTCGGATGTCTACATAAGAAGTAAAAAAAAAAATAAATAATATAAATTTTTTTCGAAATACTAAAAACCTGATTAAGTAAAGTCAATACCCTTTATAAGTATAAATATTTAATGTAAATGTTGCATTATGGGAATGTTCTTTTTTTTGCTGAAAGAAAGAAAAAAACATGTGGATTTTTTAAATCTTATATCTAGATTATTGTCGCTACTTCATAATATAAAATAACATTGACTGTGACGCTTACCGCATAAAGATATCAATTATTATTTAGCGACATATAATTTTTTTTATTGGCTAAAAAAATGAGTAAACGTTGTTGCTATTCTTATATATAGCATATTATTTTATTTCATCAATTCTTTTGAAGAGATAATTTCCATGCGACTATTTTTGTATCTTATTCTTCTATATATGAAATATGATGCCTGTTATGGTAAACAAGATAATGTAATTAGTAGAAAGTATATACGTAAATGTTTTCTTTTTTTTTTCTTTTTTTTTTTTTTTGAAGATGTCTACAGATAAAATTGCTTTGGTTACTGGTTATACAGGAGAATCAGGAAAAGCACTTGTGAAAGAATTAATTAATAATAATCAATTTAAAAAAATTATTCTTGTTGGTCGTCGAAAAATTGATTATACTGATAATAAATATATAGAAAAAACGGTATTATATTAAAAATGAATCTTGATGGGTTTATTAATTTAAGAAAAAATATTTTAATTTTATATTATTAAATAAATTTTTACAAATTTGATTATAATTTCATTCAGTAGAGAATTTATTTTTCTACAAAAACAGTCTAGTGTGTTTTTTTTATAAGGTATGTGTTTGAGGAAAAAAATTCCAAAGAGAGTTTTACGAGAAAATTCTAATTTTCCATGACATTAGCTTCCATTAAATTTTATCCGATTGAGCTAAAAATTTTTTTTAGAAACGTTTAAGACTATACCTTACAGGTATTTTCGGAAATCTCACTTACTGGTTTTTTATGAAAAAAAATACGTAAAACTTCGGAACTAAAATCAGAAATTTAGCTTGTAGAATCCTATAAATTCGGACATGAAGATCGAAAATAAAAATAGCTGATTCTATCTCTGAAAAGTACTTCTAAGTATCTATGATAAAAATCTCAACTCGATCAGATAAAGTTAGAAGGGTGTCATAATCTACGAAAAATCAGAGTTTTCTGGTAAACTTATTTTAGATGCTATATATTCGTGGTAAAAATCTCCATCGCATCAGTCACATCCTCTTCGAGAATTAGACGTAGTCAAAAAAAAAGATAGGAGATATCCTTAAAAAACCTATGCTACGAAAGTCCACATAAAACTCTACATATTTTTCCAGACTTTAAAATAAATATTTTTATATGGAAATGTATTGATACGATTTTTTTCTATTTTAAGTCAAACCGTTGTATTCAGAATTAAATTTTGTACCTAATGACATGCTAATCAAGGTCTTATAGGATGAATATGGCTTCAAAAAGTCAAATATTATTTTCGATAATGAATCGAAAAACAATAATATTTTTTTAGTTTGAAGTCTTCTTTTACTGAATAATAATGTTAAAAATATTGAAAAGATTATAGATAGATAAAATATAAAATTCTCTATTGTTTGATGTAATATACAATAATTTTAAGACTTATCTCGATCAATATACACTTACAGAAATTATTAGATATACAAAAAAAAAATAGAAGGTCACAATCCGATCATTCAGTAAATTGTTAATCTTTTTAAATTTTTATTGACAAGAAAAATATTGTCTGTTTTGTAGAGAAATAAATAGGCTGATAGACAATAACTTATATTTGTTCATTTTAACTCAGATTTTTAATTCCTTCTTTTTGTTTTCGTTTAGGAACAACGTGAAATAGATTTCGATAAAATTGATGATTATGCTGAAGCATTTCGTGGTGCTGATGTACATTTTTGTTGTCTTGGTACTACAAGAGGTAAAGCTGGAGTAGTAAGTATGAAATTTAATATTTCAATTATTTTATTATTTTGATTTTTTTATTGAAGGAAGGTTTTCGTCGAGTTGATTTTGATTATGTTGTTAGTGTAGCTCGTCTTGCTAAACAAGAAGATTGTAAACATTTTCATCTTGTATCAAGTCAAGGTGCAAATGAAAATTCATTTTTTCTTTATCCTCAAGTGAAAGTATGTTTACGATGAAACTCACCGAACTAATTAATAGCTTTTCAGTCAGAACTGTGTACATCACGTAGATCTTAATGAATTATGAATATCTTGAAAAGAGTTCAGGCTCTTAGCTCATTACTATAGAGATATTGCATATTGACGGCACTTTTTTAAATTCCATGCGATGTCTGAACAACAGATTTTCGAATTTCAACATGAAGCTTTGCATAGGAGATCTTAGCGAGAATAGTTTATTGTGAAAGTTTCAAATCTTTTGATCTGCTCCTTCCGTGAAATCAGAACGTCCAATCTATCGGAGCATATCAGCAATGTAGACGATATGCTTTTAACATAGCTGCTAGAGATCTGCAGAGGGTAATGGTTAGAAAATTTTTTCTCAATCAAGTACAGAGCACGAAAAAAAGTTTACTCTATACATCTCTAATGTGATACTATGGTGCTGTTGATCACTTTTAGAGCCTTCCAACTAGACTAGTATCAAGAGAGAGTGACATAAAAACTTTGTAGGATAAGATAAGACAGAAATAGAACCGATATGGATTTCAGACTGGCCGTTCTAGTCCAATATGGCCTATACTGACCGGCCCCGATATCGATTGTAAAAAGGTCTTGACCAGTTCTATCTCTGCCGTAGGTCGAAATTCGAAAACCTGTTTTTGAGGTGGACTATAGCATTGAGTTGTAAAATTCTGCAGTAATAAGCTGAGGATCCGAACTCTTGTCAGGATATTCCTAACTCATTACGATCTACATAATGTATATTGTCTCAACTGAATAATCATTTTCTCAAGGGTCAAGCAGAAGCAGCTTTAACTAAAATGTCATTTGAACGTTTATCAATTTATCGACCAGCGTAAGATTTTTTTTTTTTGTGTTTAAATTTTTCTATTCGAAATAAAATATTTCATTTAGAGTATTAATGGTTGATCGTGTTGAAAGTAGACCATTAGAAAGTGTTCTACGAACAATACTTAGTTATACAGTTCAACGTATAGCGCCAGAATGGATAACAACACCAGTTGATATTCTAGCACGTGCCATGTGCTTTAATTCATTTATTAAAGATCGAGTCGGTGTTGAAATTCTTGATAATCATGCAATATTTCGTCTTTCTGAACAACAATCAAGTTCTAAAAATGATCAATCAAAAGCTACAAATGAACTTTAATTTTTCGTTTATCTTTGTGATTTTTTTCTTTAATTTCTTTTTCTTTTCTAAGTTATGTGATATTTGATTTATTAAACAAAAACAAAACATGTCTATTCTAGATAAATGGATGAAATTCATGAAAGTAAATTAACACTTTATGTAAGAAAGTTATCTTATTGTTTTTGAAAAATTCCTATATATTTTATTTTTGAAATAGAGACGTATTGAAAATATAATAAAAAATATTGAAGAAGATGAAGCAAAAACAAATGAATGTATGAAAGTTATTCGTAGTAAATCGTATGATAATCATTTTTATTTATGAAATAAAATATTATGTTTTAAATTTTCTAGTAAATCTGATAATATAAGTATTGGTCCTGCAAATGATTTACGTAAGAAAAAGATTTTATTTAATAAAAAAAAAACAACAATATTTTATTATTTAGTTCGTTTTCTCTATATTCTTGAACGGCAATATCAATGTGATGATGATGAAACACGAAGAAAAGCTAGAGAAGATTTTTTGGAATATATTAATCAATTTCGACCACCTGATGATGATGTTGTCGAAGAAGAAGAAGAAGAAGAAGAAGAAGAAGAAGTAAATGATGATGATCAACAACCAGATCAATCAAATGGGTCACAACAATCTGCATCAATAGTTCTTCCTAATCCAGTAAGAATATTTTCATTTTTGACTTCGAAAACCAAGTAAATAGATTTTTTTAAAACACTTCATCTTTTTTTCGAATACTTTTTGAAAAATAAAGGTAAGAGTATATTAAGATATCCTTGAGTATAAAAAAAAGTTGTACAAAGAACACAATCGAGAATATGTCTCGGAGCTGAGAATTGGCTAAAATTTTGTCTGAAATTCAGTAAATTTGATATCAAGATTAGAGGTTTAAGTCGACGGAATAATGATCGGCGGTGACTAGAACCCATTGGCTTATATCTCTAATCGAGGTTAATGATATTTCCAGTAGAGACTATATGAAAATAGAGAGAGATATTGATTTGACTTTATGATAAGTAAAATAAAATAGCAAGATATATATGCATCCGTGATATTTAGAATATCATATTTTACTATTTTACGCTAACTCTTTCTTTCCTGTACCGATTTCAAAAGAGAATCTGAGGAACTATTAATAGACACGTTCTGTTTGCCTCTGCAACAGTTTAAAAGTACGAATAGATCAATCAGGTATCACATACATTCAATTCTATAATTCTGCCTTAATCCATCATTCTATTTAGTTTCACTTGTTCATAAAGATAAGGTAACAAGTCCTAGGATACTAAATCGATGTTTAGTTCAAGCATTTGTTGCTAGAAACTTAAGAGATTGACTTGACAATAGAGTCCCTCAGGTTGATTTTTGGACCTGACGAACGGTCTTGTACAAACGTCGGTTTTTTCATTATCTAACAGGAATAAATTATTGTACTTCTAGCCGCTGCCGCCGCCGCCGCCTGCCGTTATATCTCCGTTATCAACAGTTGTACCTCCTTCAGCACCTACTATTAAATCCCAATTACCACATCCACAGCCTACACTCTCGGTAGAAGATATTGGTGAAATTAAACCAGAAACACTTGTTGAATATAGAAAATTATCATTCGAAGCTCAACAATATGAAAAACGTTATTCAATAATAGATCTTTCACGTAAAAAACAATTAGCATCTTGTATAAAAGATATTATGAATAAATTACGTAAAGAAACATTTCATACATTAACAAATGAATTATTTGAATTTTTAAATGGACAAGAAAAAAAAGTTAGTAATCAAATACATCGTATATCAAATGAAGAAGGTAATTATTTTTTTATTTTAATCTTCTATATGATTTATCTTATTTTGAAATAAATAAATAGAACGCTTATTATGTTTATCAATGCTTGCAACACTTATTCTTGCACAATTACTTGGTGGTGATTTAAATGATATAAAAACAGAAATTTTTTTACCATTAATTGGTATTCTTAGTCGAAATCAACAACATCAAGAATTTCGTATTATTTTTCTTGATCGTTTACATAAAAAATGTCCATATACAGTACCATTATATCCAAAACGACAATCAACTATGAATGATAAACAATATTTAGAGTAAATATATTTAAAATAAGTTAATATATTTTTAATAGACTTTTTTCTTCTTTTTTTTTTGTAAAGAGCAATAGGTTATATTGAAAAACAAGATGGTGATCAACGTCGTTTAGAAACAGAAAGTGAATTTTTTACTCGAATGAATGGACTTATACGATTATTTTGTAAATTACTTGTTAGTCGTGGTCCACCATTTGATAAAGATTTAGCATTTGCATGGAAATGGTTTTCAGATGTTTTAAATTTACCACCAAAATCAAATATAACATCAATTTTAATACGTGTTTTTCTTGATGAAGCTGGTGAAATTATGATGAAAGTATATCCAATGCAATTTTCAAAAATAATTAATGCTATTCGTATACACTATTTACCACGATTAGAAAAAGAAACAAGCCATGATCAAATAACAAGACTTCGTTTAACATTAGAAAAATTTTCTAAATAAATCATTATGAACATTATATTTTGTATATTGTTAGTCTGATATAAAGATTAATAAATAAAAAATTTTTATACTTTAAACAAGAAATTCAAAATTTTATATTTAAAATCAAAAATAATAAAATGAAGTCTGCTGTTGATCTGTTTCTTTATTTCTAAAAGAGATATCGACTACAGAATATGAGTACTTTTTTTTTAAAGTAAATACTTGACAATAACAAAAAAATATAAATAGTAATAATATGTTTTCGTCCATTAAATTATTTAAGTACACCTTGTTGGAAATTTCCAACTATAATAATGTTATTGCGTAGTGGTTTCATTCATACTTTTCATTTTAATCATGTCAGTAGTACCGTATTTTGTTGCTGCTGTGGGTTCTAGCACATTACGTATTGTTGAAATGGTTTTTTTCAATTTCTAAAGACGCAGAACGTTATTTAAATCATGAAATCAATTTCAAAGAAGCTACGGATAATATTGTTCAAAATATACATATTTATGTGCCATTAACAACTGCTAAACTTATATGTGATACTATTGTTCTAAGCGTGACAGGTAAATGGATTTATGATGTGCTTATTCACGTAAGATATATATTTAAAGGTCTTATTAATTATGGACTTGAAGCTTTTAAAAATGCTATAAAATTATCATTAAATCATATTTTTACATCACTTCGAAGTTGTTCAATTGGTCTTATTTTAAGTCAATTTAAGCATATTTATGATAAACATGAAAAAGTTTTATTATCTATATCTATAATTGATTTTTGTACTATTTGTAATCATATTTATCTTCTCATTATTAGTCAAAGAAATGGTTTTAAAAAAAAATTCAATTAGACCTTATGAAATATTTGTTAGAATGTATGGGTATTATACGTGCAGTAGCTGAATCGAATAATATTGATTTTGTTAAATATATGAATAAATGTTATTCAGATGAAATGTACGTATTTGAAATCAATTCATTCTTAATAAATTATTTTTCTGTATCATTTTAGTTATATAAATAATACATCTTCATCGAATAATGAACATTCTTTTGAGCGGAAACGTGTAAAAGATCCGGATTTTATTCAAATTATTACAATTTCATTAGAAGATATATTTCATGGAAAAGTATGTGATGTAATTGTTAAACGAGAAATTCGTGATATTAATAAACAAATGCCAGAAATTGAAGAAGCAACATATCAAGTTATTATTGAACCTGGTTATGTTGATGGAAAAACATTTCGTTTTATCGAAGCAGGTCATAAAGATCCAGTAAATATACCAGCAGATTTAGTTGTAACAATTCGAACAGAACCACATAGACTATATGAATGATCAGGTTCTAATCTTATTTATATAGCAAAAATTTCTTTACAACAGGTATGTATTTTTTCTAATTATTTACTTTTTTTTTTGAACTTTGTCTATTTAGGCATTAGATGGTTTACCAGTTCAAATACCATTGATTGATGGAAGAACAGAAGAGTTTTATCCAAATGATATTATTAATCCACATACAGAATTTATTATTGATCAAGCTGGTCTTCCGGATCCAACAAATAATGGAATTCGTGGTCGACTTATTGTTAAATTTGATATTGACTTTCCCGATTACAAGTTAGGAAGAGAACCTGTCGAATGATATACACACGATGAAAATTTTCAATAGACTTTATATATGTATAGTTGTAGAACAAGTTCGACTTCATTACTCTTTTATTTATATAATCAAGCATCATACTTAAATGAAAACTATTGTTGTTTTCAAATCGATATCTTATCACTTAGTATAACCACGAAAATTATTTTAAATTACTAACTATTGATTACATAATTATTTTAAAACATACATACTACTTTTCTATTTAACTCTAGAAATAAAATAAAAAATTAATAGTATTACTGTTGTTTTCAAAAGACAATGCTTTTGATTATTTTCTGAATAACTTTTGATAGAAAGCAGATGATACGTTGCAATTTTTTATTATTCAAAAGAGAAGTACTTAGAGTATGAAGTTTGAAGTTAATTGTTTAGATGGATTTTGACTGAAGGTTTTAAAGGCTGTTTTCTAAAAATATTTCTCATTGTATTGTGATTATCTTTATAGATCTTTAGATTCTGCTGTTTGACAATTATAAAGTTTGAAAAATCAATTGATCAGTTTTTTTGAATCTCATCCTCTCCTTGATGATCATGTCTGATAGTCTCGAGATCCGTCTGATGACGCGATCTTGAGTCGACCCTCTACCCTTAAGAAACTTTTTTAGCCTAAAGATGTCCACGCTTTTGCAAAAAAAAATCTTTAAAGTCTTCAAGTCAGTGCATTTCTTGAGAGAGCTGAATTCTTGCTTTTATATCTAATAGCTTCATACCTCTGTAGAGCTAAAAGGATATAATTTTTTGAATTTGTTGCAAAATCAAATTCTCCATGAAGCCACATCGTCGTGTTCTTCTCTACGTATAGTATGATACGATACTTGAAATAGTGACTATCCGTGTAAAAGTTTTGATCCGAAAAAAGTTACTATTAAGTACTGTCATTATTTTTTCACGAAGTGAAAATAGTACTTATTATTACTTCTGTAGGTACTAAAACCTACTTATCTACTTATACTTTTAGTAATTAAATACTGAAGAATAATTCTGATTTTTGTTTATTCTTTAATTATATTCAGTGTGTGATCGCACTCAATTGAGTTCTGATTGTTTTTCCATTAGAAGTATTTTTACAGAAAATTCTACTCGTTTTTTTTCTCTAAAAAACTTTCATAATGTTTCGCAATAATAAAAAAAAGCAGAAAGGATTATATCCAGTTACAAAGATTCAATGTACTATTTTTAGTTTGATTATATTTTTTTTAACTTTTCTACTTATTTTTCAAAATGATTTGATATTTAAATGGATTAATATAAAAAATCTTTTCGAAGTGTACCTATATTGATTTAATTTTATTCAATTTTTCATAACCATTACGTATCATTAATATTCAATTTAACATCAATGGAGAAAAAGAAAATCATTTGAGTTATTTTTAAAATAATTTCAAAGAAAAAATGTATTTTCTTAGTATAAAAATATTAAATTTCAACGACGTAATGTTTAATATGAAAATCGATCTCCAAAATTAATTTTCAATGTGTTCTTCTGTAGATATTTTAATTCATTCAAGAGTTATGAAAACTATTTATTAGAGAGCACGAAGTTATTTTATATTGTTTTGATTTACAAAATAAAGTGTTATTTGATCAAAGATATTTAGATAAAAAAAATAGTTTAGTAAAAAAAAAAGTGTTCAAGTATTTGTTAAAATCACAAAGAATAGTCGAATGTGTTCAAAGAAATTTCAAAATTGAATTTTAAATTCTGAAAAATGAAATAAAAATATTAATTTTAATATTGATAAACGATCGATGACATTTGAAGATCAACTTTAACTTGATGACAATTTATCTTTGAATATTGAAAATAATTTAACAATAAAAGACTATTGGCATGTAAGGATGCGGGTTTCGGTGAAGAGATGACCCAAAACGACATTCATACTCAGTTCAGACCGAAATCAATTGGAACCAGATACGATCACCGAATTTCTGTTTCTAAATTCCTACCATTTTTTAGAGTTTTCTAGCCAGCGAAATCATTTGATCAGAGTATCTTCGAAAGAGTAGATGCATAGTGTAACATGCAGTAATCGTAAACCTCGGAAGAACGAATCCGATCTCTGAAGAGGCATTGTCACCTCGGCTCACGCACTAGATAAAACACTGATCTCCAAAGTGTTTATCTTTATTGCATAATTTTTATCAGTTGCTATATCATTATAAATAATTAGACAAAAATTTTCAATTATTACAATGTCAATTGTCTTAAGTTTGCTTTTAGAATCTTTGATTTCGATTTTTTTTCTATGCAATATTTTCATAATTGAAGAAAATGAATCTATAAATGATCTGCAGCATTAATTTTCCTCTTTGATACTATGATGTTTAATCTTTTTTTTCTATTTTAACAGAGAATAACGGCCAATAATCATTTTCATTAGTCGTTCTGTGAATAAATATCCATAGAATGTTTGTATAGCAATAAGCGATACCATTATTCAACGCTCTCTTCCCATTTGATAGTCAATACTATTCTTCATATAGTTTCTGTTCGCACGATACTGTCTTTTCTCTGCATTTTGTGATCTTATTTTGCTCATATATACTACGTATTAGTTGAACAAAACGACCAATTACATTTATATGGAGGAAACAAAATAAAGAAATTAACCAATTTTTTTCTATCATTATTTCATCGATATAGACAGACGAAGTATCCAAAATTTGAATTTTTAATATTTATCTTCAAAAGTGTAAATGATAGATTTGGAAAATACTTACTCATTAACTATGTTTACGACATTGGTCCAGAGTTACATTTTGAAAGATATAAAAGCTAGTAGTTTCTTGTTAAGAAAATCTTTTAGTCAATAGAACACGAGATCAATTTTTATATGTACGTTGTTTGTAGAATAGTGAGCAAGATATGGGTGTGGGTGTGATTAACTATCCGCACACTTATACCCTACACCCATACCCACAAATAGGGTATGTTTTGAAGAAAATGCTCAACTGATAGAAGCTCTTTAAGACTTTAATTCACAGTTATGTCAGAGTCAGCTTGACAGTAGTTTCCTAAAAGCTTTTGACCATGATTTCATAGCATTCATTATGAGTGAAAGATTAACTCATAGTAAAATTACAGAGTGAAAGAGAGCGGGTGTATATATCTGTGAAAGGAATCTTTACACCTACACTTTCTGTTATTGATTCTTTTCTATTCGCCAGTCTTAAAACATTCAATAAGTCAAAAAAAAAATTCAATAAGACTGAGCAATTTTGTTAAAATAAAGCCAAATTTTAATAACACTTTGTTCAAATGAATACTTTTATTTTCTATGGTGTAGATCAATTTTTGGAAAAATGAGATTTTAGATTAAAAAAACCATATGATTTTATCATATCCGACAATAGAACATCACTGAAGAAACATCAATGAATACCTATTGTGACTTTTTTCGGAACAGAACAATCCTTTCGAGGAAAAAAAATGATCTTTTATGGGAAAACGCTCGATTTTAACAGGAATATAACGCAAACTCATAGTCATTATTCAAGTATACTTCGAATTATCTAAACAGACTTTTCTGGAAAGTAAAATGTGAAAATTATGTATAGTTTATTCCTACTGCAAATATAGCTTGGCTGATTCCTCCGATTTTAGATGACGTAACACTTGTCCATCTCTCCAGTTCTTGTTTCAATTGTTTTGGTAGCTGCTGAGATCTATATTGAAATGTTTAGAATTCTTTTAACATCACATTGGTACAAGTTTCAGAACGTTTTCAACAACTTTCTTCACACTCTAATCAGCATCATTATCTTTTCTAATTTTTTTTTACGATATCAACAACAGAAAATCATTCAATGTTTCTTCTTCTCTCTCTATCTCATTATCTAAGTGAATACATCAGATCACTTTCTGTTTTCGAACGTCACTAGTCTCCAAATTTATTTTGACAATGATTGGACATCGAATGAAAACTCAAATAAATCAATTCAAATAAGGACGCTTCTCGGACAGACTATAAATGTTTCCTTTCTAAAATTAAGATCCAGTTGTTAAAACAATCAAGCGTTAGATATACACGGCATGTGTTCGATGATTCTATCACATGTGAAGCATATCGAACTTTCAGGTAACAATTTATAGATGATGAAGACTTTTGTGGATGAATTCAAACATCGATGGAGTATCACATTTGCATAGCGAAAAGGTATGATTCCGAAAAGAAATCATACGACACTTGAAGTTGAAGAAACGAAAATTTATGTATCGAAAACAAAGCTTTCAATTAACAATATGGTTTGATGATAGTGGCCAATATAATAGTGGTTTTTATTCAACTATAATGAATTATCAATGATAAGTGCAAAAGTTCCACGAAACAGTTCATCCATAATGATACAACATTTATTTGTTTGACTCTTCTTTAACCTAGCTAGAAATGTTGATTACCAGTCATTTTTATCATCTACTGAATCAACATCCAAAATATAAAATTAATTTTCGTGTGCGTAGGTATCCACTTTTGTTTCGACAGCAGTAAAAACAAGGTCTTTTTTTTCAAGTGATGTCTCATCAACCAAGCTGGGAATGTGAACGAGAGCTCTTGCGATGATTGTTTGAATTTGGCGGATCTACTCAATAAATATCTATCGAATTATAGAAGTATGTTTTTCGACTTTATTTTTCGTCCATTCGGATATAGAGAGTGAATCAATAGCTTGATTCCATAGCTGATTGAAGCCTGTGCATGTATGAATCATCAGGAGATGCTATCATTTGAACGAATTCTGCAGACACATTTGAGAAGAAGGTGAGAACCGGATTTTAACTATCAAACCCAATAATTTTATTCAAAATAAGAAAACAAAGAGATTATTCTTTTCTTGGATTGACAGGCCGAAAAATTTTAGAAGATTCTATTATTGATCTAAAGTACAATTAGACTACAATGGAATTCAATCGTTTAAATGCATATATTGTCACCTTGGTAATCATTTTGGTTTAGGAAGCGAGTCAAGCAACGCCAAGCTCAAAAAGTCTAATCGAGAGAAAGTGTTGTTTGAGGCTTTTTGAAAATTTGCTATGAAACTTTTTCTGATTTTCGAGAACTTTTATTAGAATTGTTTCTCTTTTTAATAATTGACAAACGAAAAAAGTTCCTGTTCTTCTGTCTATTTAATCATTTGGTAAAAAAGAGAATAGTTAGACTAAATTGTCATATAAGTCTGATAATTCATTATATAAAATCCTACATCTGTTGCTTGATGACTATGTGATATTCTCGTTTATCTCTCTCTAAAGATGAGTAGAACTGAAAAGTTTCTTCGTTTGAATCTGATATACAAGGTTTTGATTTTGTCATGAATCAGAAATCTATCGATCATTCTAATCGTATTTTTTTATTATCCAATATCTGACTATTGCTGCATGTGCAAATCATTCCAAGGATTTGGATTATTTGCCATATACTATAGCGAATATTTCATTATTGTTCTTGACAAAATCTATCTTGCTTTGCATTGCGTTTCATTCATCATTTTTCATATGCCATATACGAATAACATTTCGTTGCAACACTCAAATTACATCGCTGTTCTATCATGTTTTAATTCATAATGCATCTGAATTCGGTTAATGCCTATTTTTTTAAAATAATTTTGCAGTCTGTGAGTAGAAATCAGTTGAAAAATTTCACTTTCCATATTTTAACTTGTGGGCGTGGGTGCGAATATTTGTCTTCTCTTCACCCACACCCCTTATATCAGTGATTAGAAAAATCGTAATGTTAAATTAAGAAAAACAAAATACGAGAATGAAAAATAACGAGAGAATAGCAACTCTTCGATGCAAATAATAGGACAGTCAAGAAAAAAAGAAAAAAATTCTTTTCAAAATCCCGAAATCAATAAGAGAAATTCTTAGTCTAACTATTACACGTCGCAATGATGTTGGTGTTAGTAAAGGATATTGGCCAGCATATGCTGTTGTTATACTAGATATTCATCTATTTATTCATCAAAGAAAACAATTTTTTTATTCATTTTTTTTTGAAAATGAAGAATTCATTTATCTCTATTTTGTAAATATAAGAGTTATATTTACATTTATTTCATAGAGTCACGATAAAGTAATACTAAAATTTAAGAGATGTAACTATATGACGAAATTATTTATCTGTTATCATCGTTTTTATTTTGCAATTCTTTAAAGTATAGTGACGCATTTAGAGATAAGATATGAGTAATGTTAATTTTCTATTATATATAATAAAAGGGCTCATTTTTCTTTATCGTGTTAAGAATCAGAAATGACTTTTGGGATAAGTGGAAAGAAAGAAAATATAATTAATTCTGATTATTGTGAAAATGTGATGTTATTGCAGAAGAAAAGTGACAAATGCAAAATGAAATGGCTAATTGGTTTACAGATTTGTACCATAATTTTCATTTTGGTGATGATTGGAACATTTTATATGGTTGCTTATCCAAAAATTCGAAAATGGCAAGTAGTTACAAACGTTACACATGATGGCTCTGAACAAAATGAAAATATTGTGACCCTGTATGCACTGGATCCGCTCGCCAGGACTTTCTGCTTCGGTGACGGAAAATATGGTCAGATGTTTTCAAAATGGAGTGTTTACAACAGACGCAGTGATATTGATTTCAACAATTACAAAAATGGTAGCTTTAGTATCGGCATAGAAGGTCGTGAAGTTGGAACAATCATCGATCTAGGATCTAGCTCAGATTTACAGAAAAAGTATAAATATGATGAGACAGCAGGAAATGGCCAAGGATTTGCATCAATCCACAGGAAAAATAAGACAATCCTTATTCTTAAGGGTAGATCATATAGCAACACCTTTCAACCGATGGAAGAATCCGCAGAGCTGTTCCGAGAAGGAAAATCAGGAGCAAGTGCCTCTGTTAAACAAGGACATTTCTATCTTCTCCGAATTACAGAACAACCTGAAACTGGTTTCGAGCGCATCGTCAAGATGTTAGTGATCGCGTATCAACCTAATGAAAGGGTTACAATTCGATGGAAAGTGTTAATATAGTCATATGAATACCAATATTGTTAATTGACATAACATAACTTTTCGTATCATCCAATGCTCATGTAGTCTGTGATTCATGGATTCAATAGTTGATAATGTTTAATTTTAATCAATAAATACATTCGAAATCAAGAGATTTCAAAATAAAAGTTCATAAATCTAAGTTGTTAGCGAGTGTCTCCTTCATCTATACACATAACCACACTCATACCCAGACTGGATGTGGTTGTGGGTGTGAATTTAATCTCTATTGCGGCACACACCCACTCACACCCACACCGTTACCACTATTTAATATAGAGCTAAGATAGTCTGTACTGGTCAATAAATCTACATTGTCGAGGCGTCTCGACTTGGAATAGTTGACGTGCACGTGCGACGTTCATAGAAATGATTCCGGAGCAGCCACATTCTCAAATGACACAGAAGAGAAAAATTCTATATGTAGAAAATAATGAAAGAGAAGAAAAAATAGGATTGTTCCTGACAAGTTTTATTCTACCAAAGGAGAAACAGCTGAATTGACGACTTGAGGAAACTGAATGCAACTCCAAGAAACTTGAGAGTATGGGAGTGTGCGTGCGTTTGAAGATGTTTGAAGAGACAATATACTCACACAAAATTAACAACTCGCTTACACTGATGAGCGAGTGAACGCAAATATAATAGCCAATGAAAGATTGTGGACATTTCTTTTACGACCATGAAAGTATTAGCGTTGAATGAGCCTGATAAAATTCCAATTAGATAGAGTACAGTCGGACGGTAATAAGCCATTTGAAGAACTGTTTGAAGAATGAGCATTCCTGACTGTCTATATGATTGAATAAAGCTCTTCAAGCTGATCATGAATGTCACCTTTAAAACACTTTTCGACAAAGTTCTACCTGAATAATCTTCAAAAGGGTATAAATATAAATGTGAGGTGGTGCAGTTGCAATATCCTCTGAACCAAAATCCCCATCCACACTCCACAGTCTTCATCGCATATTCTACACCCCACATCCACACACAATGCATTTTCATACAAGGATGAATCATCTAATTATCATCAAATGACGAGCAGTGTGTGTGCGGGTATGGATATCGATGCAGTGGATATTGCTGGCAGCACACATCTCTTTCAAAGTGTTTAAGAATGAGAATCAAATAGCAAAATAGAAAATGTCACAATGGTGCAAGATTTCAAATACTATGAATATCACACCTTTTCACTTTGCTGTCTACATAATGGTTGTTCTTCTTAACAGGAAACGCGCAAAGAAAACAGAAAAAGTATCTCAGGAATTATATAACTGTCATCAAGAACATTTGTTGATATGAAAATGTCACGTTATTTACTTGAGGGTGTGGGCGTGGATGTGGGTGCATCTCGCAGGAAGAGAATAGAACACCTACATCTATACCTACCCACACCCACAGAAAAGTCAAGGTTGTTAAACCATATAGAAGCTTTATGCTAACATTGTACACAATATTCGTTTTGTTTGAAATGGATGCTTTGATTGAAATAAAGTTTAGAACTTTTTACTGTAATAGAAAGAGTTGTGCTGTCAAGTTCGTTCACACGATAAACGCTTTATTCTCCAGTATTCGTGGATCACAAAAAAAAGATACACGAAGCGAAAGAAGAATGCCCATGAAAGAAAAAAGTTTGAGTGAGAAAACTGAAAAAACAATCTTGTCTAAAGAAAAAAAGAACAAATGAAATAAAATATATGTTTCACTTAAGACGGTCTGTTTGGTACTGAGTTTGGTGGTATAATATTTTTGTGTTATCCTATAACAAGCAAGAAAAAAAATATTCGATGACTTTAAATATCTGCTTCTTTGCGATGAGTACTCTTCTTACAATGGCAAGAAGACTTCACAAGAGTCATTCAACTGAGAAACATATTACAAGATAGGAACATACTACTTACACGAGGCCTTTAGAACCGTTGAACTAGTTTGTTGATTGTACTGAGAAGGAACCCTCTAATATATCTTCTTCTTGTAGTTGAAGCGCTTCTCGTCGTCTAATTAAATCTTTCATTTGTCGTTCTAAATTTCTTTCTATTCGAGCACATTTTTCTTCGGCAACTTGATGTTCTAATTTGCATTTTTGAGCGTACGGCAGTCGTTGACTCAAATCGCCTAATTTGACCTCGATGCACTGTCGTTCTTCTCTTGCATGTGCTGCAGCTAGAGGAGTAACACCATTGGCAGAATGCATTCGTCTCATTTCATCATGGTAATCGAGCTGACGATCACAGTTTTGTGCAATCAATTCTTGTATTTGTAAATCTTTATTCGTCTCAATTTTGGTAACCGATTTTACTTTTGGGTAATTATCATCTGCCCATTGATCAACAGCCTGAGTGTTATTGCACAATATATGAAAAGCAGTTATTTGAGTTAAATTGTGGGGATTTTTGACAATTTTTTGAAATTGTGCAGCGTCGAAGAAAGACAAAATTGGAATAAATGTAATTTGAGAATCATGCTTTGAATATATGCGTTTCAAACATTCGTCAATGTCGTAATGGTTTTCGTAGACAGTCGGGGCATAGGAAGTAACAGGCGAACTGCATTCAGGTTCTAAAACAATTGTCAACGGTTGTTTGGGCGCTCTGTCGGACATGTTCTAATGAAATAAAGCTGAGTTTAAAAGGAAAGCTGAAAACACCAGAGAAATATTGACCTACTTCAAGCAAGAAAGGACAGGAGCTGCCAACGGTGTTTTAAGTACAGTCTAATGGGGAATTTGTTCTAAATAATACACCCCTGTGTAATCTGAAAAAAAGAAGATAGTATACTTTTGTTAGGTGAGAATAACGTTTCACACTTATCGAGGTCTATTTGATTCGAAAAAAAAATGTAAGAAACGAAAAAGAAGGATTTTATGTTTATTTATGTATTTAATCAGTGAATCTTTAAAACAAAGTAGCGAGTTGTCGTCTGAATGGCAAAAATCTCTTGAAAGCAGTAAGCTCACTTGTCCTCTTCTATCGGCACACTGCTAAATAAATTTTTAATATAACTTTGCGATTTTAGGTAGTATCTTTCAGCCAAATCAAATTCATCACGTTCAATTGCTCTGTCGCCTTCCTGTCGATAATATGTAGCCAAGTTATGACTTAACTGAAATTGTAGTTGATCCGATGTTGTAGCCATACTTTTAATTTTTGAATAACCTGGGTAAGAGACAGTTGATGAAGGATTATAGTCGATTACGGAGTGCACGTGTTCAAGGCTGTCTAGTTCATGTAGTAATTCGGCAGTGATTAGAACATGCGATATAACACACATTATACAACGTTGCTTTTCCTTTGAAGAACGAATAAAATCCATGTACGAGAGTGTATCTTGAAAAAACTTTGTTTCCTCTTGTGTAACACAATTAGACATTTCACTTGCTAAGTAGGCAAGGACTAAAGTTTTCTTATCATTCACTGCGGCATTTGCTTGTTTTACTCCTAGAAATAATGAGAACAATACAGATGAGAGGAGTAAACGAAGATATCGAATATTCAGTTCTTATATCCTTCTGCGAAATATTGTACAGTTTTATGCTGCCGTCTAGGAATGCGCAGCTTTTCGTGCAGACTTGTTACAAACGTATTTTTCTTACAAGCAAGGAGTTTGTTGATATAAGCAAACAGTCGCGCTTCTACAGGGTGTTTCAAAAGTCACACTGCACTACAACAGCCTTGGATTTCTCCGCCATCTTTTGATCAAATGGGATGATATTTTTACTACTGATAAAGAAGTATTCATGGTTCATACTCATGAGAAAAACGTTGAAAAATACTACTTTGAAATGTCATTACTAGCTCAATAAAAGAACTATAGCCTTTCACCAACTAGGAAAAAACATATATATTATATTAGAATTAAATTTAGAGTTTTTTATAAACTTAAAAATGAAGAT